AAATGTTGGATTTAGGGGCCCGTGGGGGGGGGGGGGGTATGAAATAAGACTGAGACTGTAAGGCGTAAGGTATCAATAGGGCTTTGGGAAGAGGGGGGGGGGGGGCTTGTACTAGATGTCAGAGGAAGAGAAAAGTTGTCCGACATTTCAGAGATGGGAACCACCTGGCAACCTCCTGTGAACTTTCTCACTTGGCATAAGCCAACAGGTGATTGGTATTCTTGTCATTTGTAGGTAGAGAAAGGTAAAGATAACATGACGGTGTATTTGTAATACTCGAAATAACACCTTCCGTGGCTCTATGTCACACCCATGTTAATGTGTATATTAGACAGTGTGATGATGGCACTATGCCACATCCATTATGCCACACCAAATATGCCCAAATCCATGTCAATGTATATACTAGACAGTGTGAAGATGGCTCTATGCCACACCCATTCTGCCACACCCACGTCACTGTGTGTGCTCGACAGCGTGATGGACCAATGCTTTGTGTGCCCCTGATAAACGCACGTGGAACCCTATCGGCACGCGGAGTTCATGCTTTGAACCATGCAGTGCCTTATATGGACCAGTGCCTTATGGGAACCAGTGCCTTATGGGAACCAGTGCCTTATGGGAACCAGTGCCTTATGGGAACCAGTGCCTTATGTGAACCAGTGCCATATGTGAACCAGTGCCCTGTTTGAAATGTCTGTTGTCCATTTTTAAAATTTTACCTCAAGTCACTATGTTGTTATACTAACTACTTTTTCCTATGATCATATGCAGAGCCTCTATACGTATGGTGCGTTGACCACTCTTATATCTACAATGATGAATAGATTTTAATTGAGGAGTGAAGAAATATATTTTTTTAAAAATATGAATTATTTCTTCTTCCTTTTTATGCCTAGCTTAAACTGTAATTTTTTGTTTTCTTTTAAATTTGAGAGGAAGGGGGGGGGAAGGAGCATTTCAAAATTAAAAGTAAGGAGTAAACAATCAACATTTTTTTTTCCGCATTGCAGCATAACCCAAGCATCGCCTTGTGATCAAACGATAAACAACTGTTCAAGTTATCAACTTCAGAGTAATTCACACGTGTGTTATCAAGGTGTCAGCGTGTCTGCCACCATTGTGGGCAAGGTCATGACAAGGGGAACACGTGTCCCGCGTCTGTCTTGGAAGTAGAAGAAGCGTGCGCGCGCACACGTCCGTCTGCAACCGTGCGCATTAAATCAGCGGTCAGAGCTAATGTGAGGCGCTCGGAAGTGATGACAAGTAATCTGGCCACGGGCAATGCAGTGATGTTGTCAGGCGACGACTTAACATCCTTCCAACGAGGTTGTCATACGATGA